TCGATTGTCGACCCGAAAGCTATTTGATTGTAGCTTTCGTTGTTGGAGTTAGACGGGAATCAACATCCACAGTGTTTTGAAGATGAATATTTGCCCATAGCTCTCTACCAAGCAACTTCACCAACTAAGTCTAACCTTTGATTTCTGAAATCACTACACTGCTCATCAGCATCTTTAATAGTTGCTAATATCATATTAGTCATGCTGTTGTCACAGCCATCAAGATCAGTCATCTCAGAGATGAGGCCGTGTCTATAGCGGTTGCAGAATTGCGGATGCAAAGATCAGAAAGTCGTCTGATTGTAACTTTCATTATCAGGGCTTGATAGGGATCGACTATCCATTGTGATTTTTAGACAGCCTACAGAACCCCCTCCAAAGTTTTCGGCAGTTCCAACACTTCCCTTTGATAGACCTAACCTTCGAGTTCGGCCTCTTCTTCACTGATTTCGACCGATTCCTGTTCTGGTTCCCTTTCTTCTGGCTTCTGCCTCTCTGCTCGAAACTTAGGGCTGAACCTGAACCTTCTGATTCGGACGATTTCCTTCTAACCTCCTCGGATAGAATCATGCTAACAACCTCATTCAGCTTCAACTTCTCTTTCCCCGCCGAATTGCTGATTGCCGTCACACAACCTGCCCAACTATCCGGCAACTGCGATAGTAGTAGAAGGGCCTGCACTTCGTCATCGAACGTGATGTCCACGGAGATAAGTTGATCAACAATCGTGTTGAACTCGCTGAGGTGCATCGTGAAGGACCGTCCTTCTGCCATCTTGAGGTTGAAAAGAGTTTTGACTAGATGCACCTTGTTTGCTGCCGACGGTTGCTCGTACATCTTCGCGAGCGCTTCCATAAGCCCCACCGTCGTCTTCTCCTTCAGAATATTGTGGGCTACTGATTTGGCGAGCGACAACCGGATTTGCCCTAGAGCCTTCCTATCCAGTACCTCCCAATCACCATCTGACTCCGTCGTCTTCTTTCCCTTTTCCTTGCCCAGAAGCGGGCGATACAAGTCCTTCTGGTACAGATAGTCCTCCATCTGCGACTTCCAGTAGGCGAAATCCGATCCGTCGAACTTCTCAATCTTTGATTTGCTTTCCTCTGCCATGGCTTTCACACAAATTGCTGAACGAAGCTCTGATACCAGTTGTTGGGGATTCGAAACAATCAATCGAACCCTTGCCCTTCCGGACCTTGTGTTGAAAGTAGGAAAGTAGGAATAAACCACAAATAAAGATCTAACCTTGTAAAAACAGTAAAAGAGACGAACACACAGATTTAACGAGGTTCGGCAACGTGCCTACGTCCTCGGGAGCCACACCACACAATCTTTCTATTAATTGAAGAAGAAAATACAAGCTCTCAAACAAGGGGTAAATCTCTCTGAGATTCTCTCTCTCTTAGCAGCCAAAAAGCTCTCTTTTTGATGTTCTTTTCAAACCCTAGAAACGTTTGGGTATTTATAACAAACCCCAGCAGAACAGGATTCCTAGATAAAATAGGAAACAGCGAATCTGCGTCGCGGTCGACCGCTTTGCCAAGGTCGGTCGACCGGTCAGAACGACGAAATCCTACAGGGTCTTGTGCACGATATCGGTCGACCGCAGCGACCACGCCGGTCGACCGGCCAGAGCGAAAACTTCTTCTCAGTCTCCTGCAGTGCACGCGGTCGACCGGCTCTGCCACTGCGGTCGACCGCACAGTCTTCTGACTGTTTTCTTCGTCTTTTCGATTGCAGCTTTGGGTCTACACACTTAGACTAACAATAAGTGCTGGGCATGTACCAGGTGATTGGGCACTCTTAAAACCTGAGCAATCATGCCTTTGGACAATAAGAAAAATACTTTTTAACTTATTTTCTCGTTACGGCTGTTTCGCTTTTTGTAAAAATAAATTGTAGCAGAAAATGTTGCATTCAATAGTTATTGTAGGAAATCAACTTCAAATTTTCTGTTTTGATATCTGCGCAATCATATCGTAGGAAATGTATTTTTCAAACACAAGTTTAGCGTTTGATCGAAAGACAATTAGGCGCGCAAAAGCTACAAAATTTTGTCATATAAGAAAACCAAGGTGTAAATTGTTTTCTTGTTTGAATTTAAAAAACGGTGGAGTTAGATTTATTTTTTAAAGCAACTTCTCATCCCACCAAATTGATTGCAGCATTTGTTGCAAATTTTTTCGCAAAATGTAAGTTTATTTACCTTTTCTAATTACAAAATTACAAACTAAATGGTGTATTTACAAATCTCATTGCTTTATTTACTTTCGCAACTCAAATTCCATCTAACCAATTGGTTGTACTTTTTACATTTGGAGTACAAATCACAGAGTAAGATCAATATTTATTCCAGCTTTTCTAATTAATTAATGAAAGTGTAGAAATTTATCTCCTTGACAACAAGAGACTAATTCCAACATCAAAATTAAATGAAACTCAACATGAAAGAGGAACAAAAACGTAAAATCACATATTTCCTGTGCGAAAAAAAGGGGCGCTCTCGCAACCTTCCAAAAGAGTTACTAACAATAGTCTCATTTATTGATTACAAGATCACAACGAGAGAAATCAAATAAATAACGGGGTTTTTTTTTTTAAATAGATTACCCTTAAACCAATAATTGCATATTAATCCCTAAAATCTTGAAATTTGCATACTGATCCTTTAAATGCCATAGGGCCTCAAGTCAAATCTAATGGCTAGAGGCAAAATAACTATTTTAGTCCTCTATTTTAATCCTCAAGTCAAATCTTCTCCAACGCTTGGCAAAGATTCCTCACCCAAACTTGAACTTCACAAATGTTTAAAACATCAAAGGGAGTAGTAGTTTGGCAGTTGCGTACGTAGGGTCACGAGTTAACCTAACATGAAGAAATAATGTTAGGGGCACACCCCCTACCACACCACCAACCACACCCCCCTCTCCCATCGCTACAGTAAACCGGGCCCCACATGGGATTTTAAAATTTTTAAAATCCCATGTGGGGCCCCGGTTTACTGTAGCGATGAGAGAGAGGGGTGTGGTTGGTGGTGTGGTAGGGGTGTGGCCCTAACCACCAACTCACATGAAGACTTTCAATTGATATTTATACCGAGAGCCATCTTTAAGATCCCTGTACGAATCAGGGATATTTCAAGATTTCAGGGCCTACCTATGCTATTGACTACAAAAATAAATGTAAAAAAAAAAAAAAAAATATGCATCCTCCTAATCCTCGAGCGCCCCTGACCGAGCCCAAGATAAGTCTTCCTCCCTGTCTTCTTCTCTTTACAAATTTCACGGAAAAAAATTAAGGCGCAAAACTGCTGCTCATGCACGCACTGACCGACCGGTCATCATCCTCACGCCACTCCTCTCCTTCCCTCTCCCTCTCTCGTCCGCCTTCTAAAATGCCACGTCCGTTCGACTCCTCTCCTCGTGGGCCTCGCCACGGGGCAGCAAACCTAACCACTCTACGCATCAGGAGATCTCCCAGCGCGAATCCTCCTCCTCGCCTCCCTCCTCCCACGACGCACCGTCAACGTGGCGAGTACGCTCCACACTCAAGACTTCCCCGCGCTCACCCTCCCTCGATCCGGCAAGCCTCCTCTCCGAAGGGACCTAGGAGCCAGGACGCGCCCCCTTGTCCAGAAGATGGGCGCCGGGACGTCGGACGCGGCGGCGGCGTCAGGGAGGAGCTGGGGGGGGAGATACCCAGGTCAGGGTCTGTGGGGACGTACCGGGTGCAGTCGACGAGGGAGGGAGATGCGTCTCGTACCGGGCTGCGGCGAGGTACCTGCTGCCGCGGTCGACGCGTGGCTCGAGAGGGGAGTCCCCGAGGAAGGCGTTGAGACGGAGGAGGCAAGGCGAGAAGGTCGAGCTTCCACGCAATGTTTTTATTTAGGTGGCATAGTGCCTCCTCCTAATATGCATGTCTACCTTGCTTATGCATAAAATAAAAGATGAAGATGCATTAGGAGATATTAGGAGGCATTATGACTTAGTAGAGGATCCCAATCCTTTTATTTAAGAGAAGTACCGAGTTTGTATTATTTAAGAGAAACACCGAGGTTTAGTATGCATCACTTTGTGACCGTTCTAACGCTCTTATATGTGTTCGAGGTGTTGGTACGAAGTAGCGGAAAATGCAACCGCGTTGCCGATGTGCTGATGATGAAAGCAGGCTGCTTTGAAATCCTATAGGAAAATTTATGGATAATACGGAAATGCTTTTTGATTCGCCCGGGGAAGCCCCGGCCGAGCGTAACTCCGCGTGAGGAGGAGGGGGGCAGGCGAGTGCGCCCACAGCTTTGTGGCGCACTCGCCTGCCTCCTCCTCACGCGAAGTTGGCTCGGCGCGGGCTCCCCGCGAACCAAATAGCAAAACTCTGGATAATAAGACCTAGAGTTGATACTCTAAAGTAGTCTGAAAAATTATGCGTGTAGAATTAGTTTTGCGGAGCCGTCCATAGGGGGCTGGAGGATGGAACCCTCTCGGTCACGGGTTCCATCAAAATCCAATTGCTCGCTCTTTTGTCATTCCGGACGATGCAGCCATAATGGCCCCGGCGGGGGGGGGGGGGGGAGAGAAATTACAGGTCAGATTCAGAAATAAGTGGTAAATCGTTTTTGAATCGGACGGTAAAATAGGTGAGGAAATTGTCGTGGGGATCCTCTTGTCCTCTGAAATCTATAGGTTGGCCTGATGTAAGATCTGTTAAAATCCTGATTAGAGCGAGATGCATGGTTAAAATAAGAAGTAATATGATATATTTTTTTTTCTTTTGACAAAATAAGACGCACAGTTATGACATTTTGATATCAAGATATTTTTTTGCTAAATACTTGAAAGTCACATGTAGCGGCTAAGGGTTTTCATCAAATTCTAAATCTACATCTATAGCATCCGTATCTTGGATACTATTGATAGCAGCCTAACTCAACGATAACATAAGGAAAAAGTAAGTTGACATCGCATTTTGCTAAATGAGTTGCCAAGAAATGATTCATTGAAAAAAGTAAGCTCCTAGATCATATCCAATAACCCTACATGCTTCAAAACGCCCAAAGGATAGTTCAAGACTGGGGGAAAATAAACATACCCCCTCCTTTTTAACGTAGGTATACAACATGACAAAAAAAAAAGGAGTTCACAACAATAAGATGGCAAAACAACTACACAACACATAAAAAGATATGAAGCTATAGCTAATGTTAAAAGACTCGCAAACACACTACGTTAAAGACTTACAAACACACTGCAGACAGATTTCACTATTACAAGATAGCAATCCTTTTCTTAGTCTTGTTTGTAGCTTTACATCTCTAGTTTTTCAATCTTCGCCATCAAACCTTCACCTAGGAGCTGTACAGGATAAAAACACCCGTCGGGGCATCTCGTGGTGTTCAGTTAGTAAGTTGAAGAGAGTAAACCAATTCTCCAACCGACACAAATTGTAGTCCCATTAGTTCTGCTATCTGACTTCTGCTTCGATCTTATACGTGCTCGACTCTGCAGAAGGTGCATCAGCTTTAATGTGGCGAACAAATTGTCCTTTAATCCGAGGACGCTGCTCAGCGAGTCTTTTCCTGCTCTGGTACCGAACCTGGATAAAGGATTCCCAAATTAGATAACAGAAAAGAGTAGTTTAGCCAGCAGAAGTTATATTGCCCAATCTAGTTGGAAAAGGTTCTATCCTTTCTTATGGAAAGAAGCAGCTTTGACCTATAGCTTGATGTATCGTTGAGTATTACGTTAAAAATTTTAGTTTCCACTGTGGCCCGTCTTGTATTAACATGGCTAACATAACAAACATGTACCAAAAGACTTTTGAGTTTCAGAAGGATTTGTAAATTGTACCTTTTTCTCAAAGCATCTATCCTTTCTCTTCAATCGAAATTTTTTTAAGGCTGCCTCTCTCTGACTTAAGCGACACAGGTCCATTTGTTTCTTCTCCACTTGATTTCGTAGCTCTGATGTCACATTGGGCACGTCTGTTGTGCTGATACTACTATTGCCATTGCCATCAGTACGATCTACATTAGCATCACATAAGCTACTGCTCGTACCATTTTGGTTATGATGATGAGCGAAATGATCTCTAGTGTCAGATTGGCGATCTAAAGAGTCTGGATAAAAAATCGGCTGCATTGACTCATGATACCTGTCCCAATTTACCCCTGCAACTGGAATACGTAGAGGAATAACTCGTATAGGAGCGCATTTAATTGTGGTTCCATTTTCAATGGAAGAATGAGCGCTTGAGGACTTCGCATCTTCTGTGTTCAGGTGTTGCATTGTACTATTCCACATTGGAATGCTGTTACGGGTATCAGGATCTTTATCTGGTATTTGTTTTGTGGAAGGACTGTAATTTTCTTCATACTGAGTTTCTAAGTTGCCAGTTTCTAGAAAATTAGATACTGGTATCTTGCCATCATACCTGCAGGAAGAAAAATATATTCAAAATATATAAACGAAATCAATAAGTATCCCAATTATTCAAAGAGATTTGTAGACCTGCAGTTATATGTTTGTATCTGAGGACCGAGACCGTGTAGTTATAAAGATAATATGCAAATTAACCCACTATATTACTTAAATATTAGTAAAAAAATAAATTTTAGTAAAATAAAACATCTCTAAACATGTAAATGAATACTTATACAAATAAACTGCACTCACACTGAAAAGGCTGAAGAACTCGAATGGTTCAGAATCCTGCATTCATTCTTCTCTTCCTTTTCAACATGATTATCATCGTATCTACTCAATGATAGCTTCAGTAAAGGTGTAGAATATGGGCTGCAGCTGAACTCCTCATCACACGATACAACTTCTTGAGTATAATAAAGGTTATCATTTTTTGCACTATTTTCCCTTGGCTCATAACTACACCCTTGCTGATTATCTATTGTGCTGATCAAATTGATGAGTTGCTTCTGAGTTGCAGTATCTACGAGCGCACAAGATTGCTCTTCTGCGATCAATTGATCATTTGCGACGCATGTCCCATTGGGAGGTGCAAATTCTGAAACCAGCATAACAAATGCCACATATTAAATTTTGTAAATAGCAACGGTAGTCTAAAGTATTGACAGGAAATATGAAGAACGGTACCTTCATCATTTCGTCCAAACTTCCATTCATCATTCTGACATATAGTCTCAATTATATGAGAAGAATCCTTGCATGTTCTCTGCTGAGGCTCTATGTTACTTTGTTTGCACATGCTCTCTACTTCCACATCTAACTTTGTACAAGAACTCTGCACTACAATATAACTAATCAGAAACATGACACAAAAGAAGAAGCTAATTAGGAACAGTGTATCAAACATAACAAACTCTGTCCCGTACTTCTCATCAAAGCCTAGCTTTTACTCAAAGCCATTGTTTCTTCTAACAATATATATTTATGTGGAAAACTAGCTTCTGTGTGGAAGCTATTTCCTTGTAAAATAACAAAATTGAGGAAACTTACTTTGGCATCACTCCCTTTCTCACTGTCTTCTTTATTGATATGCATTGGAGGTATTGATCCACTAGATTGCTTTGCTTTTCGAGGATTAGCTTCAAATGTTTTCATTGCATTATCATCTTGATGAACACCTTTATTGCCAATGCCATCATTTAACTGGAAAAGTTACGGTGATTAGCAATACCAAAATATAACAAGAGTGATAAGCACTTCATGAGTTTACTAAATAGGTAGGGCTCAATTGCGGATGCATCCCCTGTCGTATAACTATTTTGAACTAGCTGCTACTGTAGTTTCATTGTTCCAGATAGTCCCTTTTTTTCAACTCTTATATCCTCGACGTAAATAATGAGTCTGAGTGTAAAAGAATCGAGAGGATTTAACCCGGCGTTTTTTTTTTTGTGGTTGGGGGGGTGTCTGTTATCTGCATCAATACTATAGGGGGCCTATCACCCGCGGAGGCACCCTATAGAGGGTGGTGTCAAGTGATACCACCTTATATCAAAAAATAACCTGGTATAAACCAGATTATCACTTATTAATGACACTACACCAGAAGTAAGTAGTGAGTAGTAATTCATTTGAGAATTACCCCTAATAGGCCAAGCCTTTGATGACCCAATCCCAAGAACCCATTTTAAGAATGAGAAATGAACAATTAAGTAGGTGTCGGTCTATCGCCTGGTGTTTATGAAGCTACAGAGAGAGAGGTCGTTACAACAGAAATTATAAAGAATCATCTGCAAAATTGAATGTGAGATCAGTGGATGAACAATGACTTAGCAACTAATATTGAAAAATATATATTTAGTGGTATTTCGAAAGAGGCTATAATGCAACAATTTCATAATATGATGTCGCTTGGGGGTGAATTGCAACAATGTAGTCGTATTTTTTGAGAATATATCTCGTTAAAGTTAAATATATCTTCTGTGTCTTATTAAGTTTTCCTATTATATATTAATATGAGAGAAAATTAGTAATATCGTCTTTTTATATATACTGTGACACCACTATTTTGAATTCGTGGCAGTGTCACTGGGGTCTAAGTGCAATTAGCCCTAAAATAGTTATACACAAGGTTGATGGTTGAATGCAACATACAGTTTGTCTTCTCCAAACGTGCTGCCACAAGTTCCTCAGCTCATTTTTGCGGACAGGCTTCACAAGGAAGTCCGCCGCGCCTTTCAGCATGCAATTGAAAACTATGTTGACAGAGTCATTGGAGGACATCACTGCATATACGACACACACACACACACACAAAAAAAAGAAAAGATGAGATTGCAGAACACCAGCAAGTATATGTTTCTCTTGGAATAATTTCAAGAGAAATGGTATCATACTTATCACAGGAATGTGCTTGCAGCTCTCATGATCCATTATCATGGAAAGGAGGCTAACTCCCGAGATCGACGGGACCTCAACTTCAGCGAGAACTACATCGATACTATCAGGCCGTTCCTTCACTATCTCCCATGCTTTTAGACCATCAGATACTGCAGCCACTGCAGTAAAAGAAAATGCAGTATAGATAAATATAGTCAGAAAGCAACACAAATGCACAGACAATTATTTATGGGATACTAAAACTAGGCTAAAAACATAGCTTGTTTGTATTATAGTAAATACCCAAAATTAAAATTAATATCACAATGAGATGATCCTAATAAAATTGATAGGGAAAAAAAAATCAGATGGAGGAAGGAGATGGATGACCTTTATAGTTGCACTTTCGGAGGAGGGCAGCTATGATATGCCTTGTGGAGTCATCTCCTTCAACTAAAACTACCCTCAAAGATCCTCCGCCGTCGCCATTGAAGATGAACTTCTCCTCCCACGATCTCCTCCTCCTCTTTCTACTACTGCTGCTGCTGCTCCTCTCCTCTTCATCCTCATCCTTCACCAGCTCCTCCTCTTCCAAATTTCTTAGTTCTAAACTCATTTTCAGAAGAAAATAAAATATCTCTGTCCCTCTCTCTCTCTCTCTCTATCTCTCTCTTCTTCTTCTTTTTTTTTCTCAAAGAAAACTAAGGATGCTCGATCTCCTCGATCCGCTGTGCTCCGCACCTACAACAAGCTGACAGCAAGTAAGAAGTAGGAAGCCGCAAAATATCTCCGACCCACTAGCATAATAAGATCAATAGGCCTGTAGCCATTGGCCGCAAGTGGCAAGTGCTTACGTGGCTTCAACCGGGTCTCAGGTTTCTCAGCAGCCAAAGATACTTGGGGTTCTCATTTCCTCTCTCTCTCTCTAAAGAAACATGGAATAAAAACTTGTGGTTGTGTTTTGTCCGTGAGTGGATTCAAAACACGAGATTTGTTGGTGTTGGATTACTGGCCAAGGCAGAGCAAATCCTCCTGCTTGTTGACAAGTGTTGAGCCTGGAATCTTTGCTCACTGTTCGCCCGCTAGATATTTTCTCTGTCTATCCCTGTGTTGGATGGATAAGAACGCACGCAATAGCAGTTGGTAGATATTTTATTTGTTTATTCGTTTATTCATTGCATTGGGTTAATAAAATATAGCCTGAGGAAATGATGAGGACGATGACTCATCCAAACTCTAAGACGTCTGTTCAGTTCATTTCTTAGAAATCCATGTTTAGCTGATTACTTATGGAAAATAGATTGTGGGATTCATTGTCATATTTTCAAACTCATTTTATAACTTTTGAGGAGGAAATATGTTTTCTTAAATTTAAAACTTATTGCACTATTATCTTACTAATGGGTTGATCTCACAATCACAACATCTTTTTTTTTTTTTCTCTCTCACCCAAACACAAGAAAATAAATAAAAACCTTCACATGGGTATGACTGGTGTGGCAGATGTTTTAATTTTACTTTCTTAGGGGATGTTAGTAAATGTTATGGTAGCATTTGATGCAACAATCATTACTGTAGCAAAATAGAAAACTGTATACTATAACAATTTTTGAGAAAATATTACTGTAGCACACGAGAATACTGTAGTATTTTTTTAAAACCTTGTAGTAGAGGCTGGAGCTGCAACAATCTAAAAATTTTAAAAACATTCTTGTAGCATTTAAAATCGGGATTACTGTAGCGGGAAAAAAAATGATATGCCGTGCTTTGCACGGTGTTCACGACTAGTCAGCATAGTAACTGGAAAAACAGCCCAACAGCTCGACAACGAGCACAAATATCAACCAAAACCCCAACAATATAGAGCTAAACAAGCTCGAATCATCATAGTAACAATAAGGCAACCCTAACAGCTCGACAACAATCAAAAAACAACAAAAAACCCAACAATAGAGAGCTAAACAAGCTCGAATCAGCATAGTAACTGGAAAAATAGCTCCAAAGCTCGACAACGAGCACAAATATCAACCAAAAAAACCCAACAATAGAGAGCTAAACAAGCTCGAATCGGCATAGTAACTGGAAAAATAGCTCCAAAGCTCGACAACGAGCACAAATATCAACTAAAAAAACCCAACAATAGAGAGCTAAACAAGCTCGAATCAGCATAGTAACTGGAAAAACAGCCCCAAAGCTCGACAACGAGCACAAATATCAACCAAAAAACTCAACAATCGAGAGCTAAACAAGCTCGAATCAGCATAGTAACTGGAAAAACAACCCCAACAGCTCGACAACGAGCACAAATATCAATTAATTAGCTTCGAACCAGATAATTTGTTTTTTCTTCGAGATAAATTGTATAGGAGTTCATCTAGATAATTTGTTTTTTTCTTCGAACCCTCTTAACCGGTTAGTAGAAAATGCTCAATGATTGTATAATAATTAGCTGAAAAAGGAGGACTTTTACCTTTTAGAGCCTTGAGTTCAGAAACGCTAGCGCAAGATTCACGAGAACCACGAGAGAGAAGAGGACGGTGACTTAGATTTGGGGGCGATGGTCGAGAAAACCCTAGATTTGGGTGCGAGGGAGGAGAGAACACTGGATTTGGGGGCGATGGCCGAGCGAAAACGAGAGGGAACGAGATGGGAGCGGTAAAAGGCGCGAAGAATCTCGGGCTCGTTGGATTTGCAGGCGGGAAGAAATCGGCGAAACTCTAAGATTTTTGCCCTCTTATCAACACGAGAAAACGAATCGGGTGGGAAACTTGGTACGAGAAATGTGATTTATTATTTTAATATTGGGGTGTCAGATTCTAGGTGATTTCCGCTCATTTTGAGAGGAAATTGATTTTTGTAAAATAGGATAATTTTCTGTACTTTACAGAAAACATTTCTGTAAAGTTTTTTAAACCAAACATAGTCTATAAAAATCTACAGAAAATTTTTAATTACAAAAATATCATTGTCAGGACTTTTTGAGAAAACTTTTCTATAAAATTGTGCAACCAAACACCCCGTAGTTTCTAGGCCAACCAAATAATAACCCCCAACTCACAATGAAAGGCCAAGGGTTTGACAAGTGTATGGTTGAGGTCCTTTGACTGTACAAGAAGAAAAAGACTGAGGACGAGGTTTCCGGAGAATATTAATCTTTTAGTTAGTATCTTTTTGCGTGGCTCACGTGAATGGCAAGTTTTGAATGAGGAGCCGACACATATCTAAATATCTGGGAGGAATATCTTCCATCCCTGCAGTAGATGCCAACCGCTTGGTCGAGTTGGGTGGAGTTCGATTGAAAGCTTTGTTACGCACTCTACGATCAATCAACTTTTTTTTTTTCGCTTGTCACACATTCAACAATCAATCAATTAAAAAAAAAAGATTTCCTTTGTTCTTGTTCAGTTTCTAAGGGGCTGTTTGAATGCTTTTAGGAAACTAGAATATTTACGACACAAAATAGAAAGTGGTTATCCACCTCATCACTTTCCATTCGAGTGTTTACATTGCTTGGTTAGAAATCTTTGTGAATCCTAAAATAATAATATTACATTGTTTGGATAGTATAATATAAACTAGAGTATTTATGACACAAAATGGAAAGTGGTTATCCACCTCACTACTTTCTACAAGGTTTTGACTTTTTTATTATTTTTTTGGACACATTTATGACATTGTGTCAGCTTTCCAACAAAATCACTACTAATTTTGATGATTTTGCTTTCGGTGACACCTCATCAAAAGGTGTAAGCTTTTCATATAAAAGAGAATTTAAACAAGGAAAATGATTTAAGGACCCAAAATATGGGACCAATGGAGGGGACAGGTGAGGTGTCCCCTCCCTATTGCATAATGAGTTGGCCAACTCATTATGCAATAGGGAGGGAACACCTCACCTGTCACCTCCCTTGGTCCCATATTTTGGGTCCCCGTAGCAGCACTCTTTAAACAAACAATGTAAAGTGATGAAAGCTGACATTTGGACCCACTTTTTTACACTTTCCATCCTTTTACATGGTAAAAACATACAACCAAACAACCCCTAAGATTGTTGTCATGTTCAGAGTCTCTGCTTAGGTGATAATTAGAGGGTCTGATTTTTTTAATTCTTATCATCTGTCTCAATTCTAATGGATGAAGTCATGCGGTCTAAGATTTTCACTATCACAAAGAGTACTTTTCACTATAGTGATTTTCAAATTTATTAATAGTTTTCAAGACCAAAGTAATTTTGAGATAACAATAGAAATCTAATGTAGGCATGATCTCATCCGTTCAAAGTAATATAAACAGTAAGGACTAAGACGTAATTGGAGAGGATCCGGATATGCATGGTATACATAAAGATGGTTTGAGTTATTCTCTAATATAAGCATATGGTACGTGCAAATAGACATTTAAAGCCTACTAGTAATATTATTGTATGTATAAATACTGCAATACATTTTTTGCCATATTTGTTATTAGAACAAATGATCAAATCCGTCATAAAGTATCTGTGAACTCTCAAATTCTCTCATAAAGTACCAATTGGCTTATTTTCCCCATTAAACTATATACATGTGCCTAATGTGGTCATTTTGTGAACTCAAAGTTAGGCTTTTGTAAATTGCTAAAAATAGCCACTTAGTAATCATACATCAAAAACTGCTTCCCTACGCAGCTAGGCGTATTGTAAAAACAATCCTGCTATTTGGCTCGCAAAAGCCAGCGCGCAGCCAGCGCGCAAGAGAGAGGAACAGGGGGGAAAAAACAAAAAAAAAAAAACAAAAAAAAACAAAAAAAAAAACAGAACCGTTTAAAAGCAACATGAAGAAAATTTACCAAACACCATTACAATTCGCTTCTTAAAAAAAAAAAACTAAATTACCAAATTGGTATTTTTTTTAACACCCCTTTACCTATTTGATGTTTTTTTCTAGCTCCAATGACATTATGGAATTAAAAGCTTAACTTCGATACCAGTTAGGCTCACCTCGTCATTGTCGAAAAATTTGACCAAATCTAAAGATGACGTGATAATGAGTAAATGGCATGGATCATGTGATCGTCACATTCTTTTCTCAATACTATGTTCAAAATCGAGGCTAAGCTCAATTGAGGGTTTACATCCAAAATTCTCCTTTTTTAATCTCATCTTCAAAATGGGGATCATCTTCAAATTAGGGGAGCTCCATTGTGTCTTCAAACTCAAAGCTCAAGCTAGAAGAGATTTGAACCACAAATAAGAATTGGACGTGGTTTCAATAGTTTCACATGAATCCTAATTTGTAAAATTTACTCAAAATCAACCTTAAAATCTAGGATTTTATTCAATTAAATCCTTGTAATCCCTATCATTACAATTGTGGAGTCAAATCTCTCTTTCTCTCTCAAAAATTTTGTGAAATTGGGTGCAATCGACAAATTTAGGATTTGTCAAACCTTAATCTCTTCCACGTTGCTTAATCCCTGTCACATCAACATCTTAATAAAGCTAAAATTTGGTCATGTGAGGTCATGTGGTACTTGCTCACCAGTCTCATCGTCGATAATGAAGATCTTTGCCTAATTAGCATCAGAGGTTAAATATTAACACTGAAACATCGCTGGAGTTAAAAAAAAACCAAACTGGTTAGGGGTGTTTCAAAAAATACCAATCTGATAATTTAGCCTCTAAAAAACCAGAAATTATCCAAAAAAAATAACACAACACCAAACTGGCCCTCATTGCGGAAGGAGAAAATTTTAAAATAAACCCAATCCCAAATTTAATCATAAAAATCTATCCTATACTGTTTTTTTTGTAGAAATCGATCCAGATTCGACCACGTCAGCATCATGGAAAGAAACTGCATCGTTTTGAAAAAAGCGATTTCCTAAATAGTCGGGGTTATCAACCCCGACTAATTAGGAGCAGCAAGAGAAGCAACCCCACTTAGTGGGGGTTTCATGGACAAAATAACTAGGGTTGTGAACCCCAACCAAAATGGTCGAGATACCCAACCCTGACTAAAATGGCCGGATTTGGAAACCCTAACCATTTTGGTTGGAGTTTGCAACCTCTGTCATTTACCAGAGCCTTTGCTAATGCAGGGCACATCCTGGAAGGTATCTCATATGTTACACTAAGATAATAATCACACCAAACACTCAACCAGAATTGTCAGGTTTGGTACGAACTCTATTGCTACACATATCAATCTATAATCAATTTCAATCACAAATAAACACATATCTTTATCTCTACATTACATCTATAATCAATTTTAAACATAAACAAACATGTAATTGACTTACTAAAATTCCAATAATAAATATTTAGTCCAACTAGAATTTTAAACATAAACATCATAAAACAAACGATATTGAAATTTAGCAAATATTTAGAACTCTCTTTTCTCGCGCTCTCCCTCTTCTTCCTCTCCTTCGTCCCCGTTCAACTTCAATCAGTTAAAAATAGTAAAACAGCTCCAAAAATTATGAAATTTTGTGGGAAGGTTCTAGACATGTAGAATGACATGTTAGAGAAAGAATTTCTGAAAAATCAATTCCCAGTTGAGAGAAATAAATGTTTGAACACAGATATACAGTTTCTGAAAATCTGCTGACATACATGATTTTGTAAAATCAATTGGGCACAGTAAATCAACTCCAAAAATAATAAAATTTTGAGAGAAGTTTCTAAACATGTAGATAAACATGTCAAAGAAAGAATTTCTTGAATTTCTAAACATGTAGATAAACATGTCAAAGAAAGAATTTCTTGAATATCACTTCTCATTTATGAAAACTTATCTGTTTTGTAAAACATGCACGAACATGTGCACGAACAAAAACATGATTTTGTAAATTCCATTAAACATAACAAATCAATTCCAAACTTGATAAAACTTTGCGAAGTGTTTATAAGCATGAAAAAAAACATGTTAGAAAAAGAATTTCTCAAATTGAATTTCCATTTGTGAAAACTTATGTATTTTGCAAGTGTGTCCAAAGCATAAAAACTCAAAACCATGCATGTATATATATAACTATATATATACATAGAAACCAAATACGTGTATGTATATGATATTGAGCTTAAGGTACTTAACACACATAATATAAAACCTAAACTAAGTTACCCAAGCTAGATCTTGATCTTCAATAAGCTCTTCTTGGTAATCTTACGGATGAAGATTGAACTTGGATCTTCAACTTGAATTGCATAAGCTTCACCTACTATTCCGCCAACCTCCATTTGATATGATCGTTGAAGCTCTATTCCATCCATCCTTTAACTCGTTGTTTGTCTATAATAAATAGAAATATACCAACACTAGACAAACAACATTAGTGGTAAATTGTTTGTTAAACATCATCAAAACAAAGAGGCCAACAGCTATCTGTAGTAATTTTTTGACAGCCTACAGCCACTTTTATCATCTCCCTATAAAGATAAGCTAACACTGCACTCCCTAAGATAATTCTCCACACTTCTCCAGATTCCTAAGAAGTGACAACCATCTAACATGCACTGATTTCCTTAGTTGAATCTAAAAATAGAATGATAACGATCAGATGGAGTATATACGCATTGGCATACGTCTTGATGTTCTCATTTGTTGCATCGACCGATATATTCATGTAATTATTTCGTAACCACTCGAGCTTGATCTTACCACCCTTCATATTAGGAGATTGGCCTGATAATCTTTCACACACTCCTATCCAGTTGAAATCTTCAGTACTCATAGCATCATCTCCATCCACTTTGAGGCCAAGTATAACCCCTACATCCTGCAGAGTAATAGTTGACTCTCCTTGTCACGTGTGGACTATATTTGTCTCGGGCCTCCATCGTTCAATCAATGTTGTCAAGAGAGGCCAATCGAATCTTACCCATTTTAATTGTGAATATTAAAAAAAAACCTGCTTGACGAACATAATATTGAACCTATGGATCCGTCAAATCCCAACTTGAATGTGCACAAGTATGATCAACAATAGTAATACCCAGGGCCTGCATATATTAAAATTTTAAAATGATCATATAACAATAATAGGATTGAAAATGTAAAATAATAAAAAATTTACCTCCCTTAAGTTTATCTTCGCGGATCAGTGTCGATATTGGTCATATAAGACCTCATATGTCAATGGTCCCGTCTGCATACTATAAATGTCTGCACATATAAAGTAAAATATGTCAGTATTATGACATAGAATAACTTGAACTAGAAATAACTTACTTTACATGATAATATGCATTAAATTACAAATTTTGTAGAATAAAATTACAAAATAAATTAATTGTATCCATTAATTGCTATATATTCGGATTGGTAGGACAATGAGATCTATTATGGTCCAGTTTTCTGTAATATCCAGGGCCGGCCCTGGGGTAAGTCCACCAAGCCCCGGGGCTGGGGCAACCTAGGGCCGGGGGGACAACCATCGCGATTACATCCTTCACCTCTCAAACCGTAATAATTTTCGAAGTGGACTTTGTAAGAGGACTTTTATGCAAAAATTGTTAGGGGTTCTATTAGTAAAAAAATCTTATTAATACCCAAAGCCCTACCCAACTCCTCCTTTATTTCTATTAGCCTCCTCTCCTCCTTCTCGTCTCTGTTCCACCACTCACAAAAAAAGAAAAAAAAAACGGAGAGAATCTGAATCGACGGAGACATCGCTCTGTTCCGTCGTCTCTGTTCCGTCAGCCTCCAACTCCTCCTTCCCGTCTCTGCTCCCATCCTTCGGACTACCCCGCCGACTCCTCCTCCGACAGTCCGATCTAGTCACCCAAAAGACAGAGAGAATCTGAATTGATTTATCGACGTCGACGGCCGATCGATCAATCAAAGAAACACAATCATGTAATTTTTTTAAATAAATAATTTTAGGGGTTTTTTGGACGGAAATTTGGGTTTTGATGTTTTGTAATGAAATTAAGATTTCTGATTTTGAATCTTGGCTGAATATTAGTTGTTGAATTAGGGGTTATGATGTTTGGGCGGTTTCGTCTAGGTTTTTGTTTTGAAACTAAAAATTAGATTTGATTTAGCTATTTGGGTGACACAATTATGCCTTCTGACTAGTTTCTCACGGTCTCCATAAGTTTAAAAGAAGCTTATCAAAGTTGAAAGATAGAAAGAGGAAATAATGTTTACTTATTAAAAAGTTCATCTCCCTTCTAGTCATCTAAAACTCGAAAATCCTAATGGGCGATAATATGATATATTTCTATTTGGTTTTAATTATAATCTCAATTTAACTTTGTTTGATGACATTCATATTATTAGATTTCTATCTAGAGTAATTGTTCGATTGTTTTAATAATAATGATATTGCTAAGTCTTCGTTCCGGCATCATTTTAGTTGATTGTTGTGATTTCATATATGTTATCTTCGTACTACCATGTCACAGGATTGATTGAATGGATTGGCAATGATATCAATTAAAAATGAATACTTCGAGAAACTCGAAGGATTGATTGAATGGATTGGCAATGATATCAATTAAAAATGAATACTTCGAGAAACTCGAGTATGATGACTTAATTGAAGAATTCGCTTAATTAAAAATGAATACTTCGAGAAACTCGAGTATGATGACTTAATTGAAGAATTCGCTTCAAAAAATTCATGGAGAAGTGTTTTTCTTTGAATTAAATTGTAGCACAGATGTAATTTTTTCTTATATGAATATTGATTTTGCAAGAGAATATTATCAGTTTGAGCCCAATATGAAACGCTAAATGGTATTATATGTATTCATTTTTATCGCTATTGTTCGTACCAAATTTTTAATATAAGGGGTAACCAAAATTGGATTAGGCTAGGGCAACCTAAACCTCGGGGCCGACCCTGGCAATATCCACACCTATTTTGCTTTGGAACCCCTTTCCATCCTTCATCCATTGTAACTCTTATACGTACTGATTGCAGACGTCCAACTTATCTCTTATAGTCAGGAGGTAACACATGCGACCCGTTATAGGGTGGCCGTTGGCTACTATCTATAATTGGATAAAAACATGACTTGTATGCATCTTTATAATGACTTGATTGATACCACTCAGAAGCGTATGTGTAGTATCAAGTATTTGCACCCCCATATTGCTTGGAAGAAACGTCTATAACACGCGAACATTGTAATTTTTACAATTATGGTATGTTGCAAGTGCATGCTCATTGCATTCCTCGTAAATTGATAGTGTAATTATGACCATATTTGTTTGTAGCCTACCATTCATCTTTAGCAAATCTAATAATTTTTGTTGATCTCGCTTGCATAACACGAAACCCTACAATCTGTTCACTTTTTGGTGTCAACATCGTCACCTACTTTGCTCCATCCTCTCGCCGCGTGACAAAATAATAATTGAGTCTATAAAATATCCTCGCAACCAATGCCTATATGGGCATTGCTCGAGCTCCCTTAAGTATACCGTTGAAGTTTTCAGAACAATTAGTTATCATCACGCAAAACCGATTCCCTCCATCTTTACTTAGTGCCTACCAGTCGACATATTCACTTCCCAAATTAGTCTCAATCTAGTCATGTGTAGTTTGAGATGTTGCATTAATTTGATCCCTTATCTGATTATACATACATGTTCGGTGCACAATCCGCTTGCCAAAGAAAATTTTGTAAATGTGTCTCACCATGCCTCTTTTTTAAATTATGCCTAATGTGTTTTAAGCAATATCGGTGATAGTGATGTGCATCTAATCTCCTATACAGTGCTTTAGGAATACCTTCCATTCTATCAAATATAGAAGTAATTTTTCTAGGAGGTAAAACAATAAGAACATATAATTGAATACAAGAAAAAAACTACTCATAGTTTTCACAATTCTCGACCTCCACAACCGCGAAAGCCAAAGGAAATAAGCCACTATCTGTATCTACTCCTACAGCAATAAGCAATACACCTTTGTATTTACCATATAAGTATGTGCCATCAATGCTAAGAACCGACTGCAAAATTTAAATCCCTCGATCGAAGGACCAAATACCCAAAATATTGAGGTAAATTGCTAAACTCCCGGATGGATCACTTTGGTTATAAGTTTGTATTCAGTTCCATGATTCTTTCTTTTGATCGCATCAAGATATTGAGGAAGGGTCGCGTAAGACTTCTCCCAATTACCAATATTTTTTTCATCGCAATTCTCCTTGCATTCCATGTTTTACTACATGATATTTCAATGAATCTCGAACCTAACACTCATATCAATTATCTGACTAGGATTTAGATCAAGTTTTTTCTTTAAATTTAGCATAATTAACCACACTACGTAAGAGGTAGATGCACCACTATGGTCAAGATCGGATTGCTGTGTGTGAACACCGTAATATTTTGTGATTTTAAAACACCCATTATGTTTCTTTCCGGCAAATGAATAGAACTTCTAAGGCATGTGTAAACATCTTCATTTCCCTCCGCCTGACCTTTTCTTTCTGTATTCATAAAACAAATTGCATCAAAATTGTGTAATTGCTTTTTAACTTGCTTGAATTTGACATTCTCTTTGATAGAATAACCACGAATAGCATCAAGCAATTGATCGTTAGTCTCGAATAAATCATCAACTTTGAAAGTGAAGTCCTCATCTCTTCTACCATTTAAACATTGCATGATGTCAACGTCTTGTACCGTGGAAGAGCAAATCCACTCATTATCCTCAAACTCGTCGGGAGGTAGTTCTTTGAACTCAACATACTCATTATTAACATAAGCCTCATCAGGCCATCTTGGATTCTCTTCAACATCTTCAATCACAAATTGCATGCTATCAATTGGTGCACTACTTGTTCTTCATCTTCAAAGTCATCGCTTCTTTCATCCTCTTCAATCGTCACCCCTCTTAACAGCCTCATAGTTTGGTAAGGGGCTTCATTGTTCATGACACACGTTCCCCCAAATGACGGTACACTTAGCTATTGAAATTGAGTCCGCTCTATTTCGCTTGAAGATGAAAGAAAACCATAAGACTCAACTCCCAAGTCTAACATGCGTGAGAACTCTCCCGGAGGTTTGAACATTTGGCTCGAACAAAATGGAATCTTTTCAATAAATAATTCTACTGTTAGCTGTGTCTTGCTCAAATTAAAAATAACACTCATATTATGATTGTTTGAAATCTCAACCGCGGACGTTTTGTCAAAAGTTATAGGCCAATTGCATATTATTTTCAGTCGGTACTCTCATGGATCTATTTCAATAACTCGGTATAATTCTTTAATCACGTCATACTAACTATATGATTCTGAGATCGTTAATAGTGTCGTTATCCCTCCAACGTACATCGGCATATTATTCATTCCATAGTTAATCTTTTCACTGTAAGAACAAGTGATAAAAACCATATTATTGAACCACTAAAAAAATTAGATTATATTATTCAAATGAAAAAAAAATTAAAAAAATATTACCAAGCCATTGGATAAGAGAGGAAACCCTAGATGCAAACAATCTCATAATTCATATATACAATGCAACAATCTCATAATCATATAACTCTAATTTTAATCAATAACCCTAAATAAATAAATGAAAACCCTAAACCCCAAATTGAAGATTCTATGTCCTAGAATTTCAATTTCAATTAAACCATACCACACATAAGGACTGACAATCACCAGAAAGATATCTAATTGATATTAAATTTTAAATCCTAGAAATTCAATTTTGATGAAAACCCTAGATTTAAATGTTAAAGAAGAAAGAAAAATCCTAGATTTTTAGATGTTGAAGAAGAGAGAAGGAAGATAAATTACCTTTGAGACTTTCTTGTCCAATTTCGGTGAGAAAATCAGCGAAGAATTCAGGTTAAGGTGACTCAGGTAGGATGAGGAGGAAGAGAGACCAGAGTCGGAAATGGGGAAAAATCGTGAATCTACAGGGAACTCTCGGTCAGATGGTTTCATACAAGAGGGCGGACCCCACCATAA